CATACGCCCCTTCCCAATCAGACAAATTTGTTTCTCAACCAGTCGAGGAATCTGAACCAGTCGATGAATCTGAATCATTCGATGAATATGAATCAGTCGATGAATATGAATCATTCGATGAACCTGAACCAGTCGATGAACGAAACGAGGATGGAGATAATGGTAGACAGACCACGTCAGTTGTTCTTCAAAAACTTGTGTTCATTGTGGACGAGGATGAAAAACCAGGAAATGCAGAAGATCCCGGAAATGAGACAGTTGCAGATGCATCTAAACCAGCTAAGGATGGGCCCAACGAATTAGCCATTTCTTCAAAGATGACAATTCCACACAGAAGAGATGGCGTTGTTTTCATGGGTATTTTGGGAACATACCGTCTCGTACCAGTAGTGCGGCTGAATCCATCTCTCTCTAGTGAAGATGAGATAGAAAATGAGAGGAAGCTACTATGTGAATCAGACACACATGCTAATATCATTAGGTACTATGGATTGAAGAAAGTGGACAATTTCTCCTATCTGTGCCTAGAAAGGTGGGTGTGCTGTTTAGATGATTTGACACGCTTTGCTAAGAAAAAGTTGCAAGAAGAACCGGATTCACTAGATGAGATAATAGATGGTCAGTTGTGGACAGAGATTGGAATTCCTGCACCTTTGATGATACAACTTATGAGGTATTTTATTATCTTGTTTGATGCATAATTATTGATATTATTAATTAATTGTTTGCTTTGTGATCCAGGAACGTAGTTTCTGCAGTGAATCATTTGCATAGCAAGCAAATAATTCACCGCAATCTGACGCCGGAAAATGTTCTTATATGCAAGGAGGGGAAGAAAATTGTTGCAAAACTGTCTGGTCTAGGCAAAAGCGCAGAGATTGGATTAACTTCCAAAAGTAAGTGTTTGATCAAACATTTTAGGTTTTAATTTTCTTTTTTTTTTGTTATAAAATTATATTTACACATTGCAGATTTTGGAGATGCCAATTGGCGAGCACCGGAGCAATTGAAGAATAGTAAGGAATCTGATTCTACTAACTTGTTTCAGCTGGGATGCATATTATTCTATGCGTTTACTGGGCATCATCCGTATGGAGATGAGAAGGTCCGTGGAAACAATATTCGACAAAGCTCGAGAGTGAAAGTGATTACCTCTCTCTTAAAGAATTGTGAAGCTGCATGTCTCATCACCAATCTGCTGGAGCGGAATCAAGGGTAATTTATTTGATTTAGATTCTAATTTAGATTTACTTGACAAATGTTGTTTCTAATTTATTGGTTTTGTGGGTTTGTATTTGCAGTAGTTGCAGTATTACTGCTTCCGACGCGGTTCAACATCCCTTTTTCTGGGATTCTGACAGGAGACGCAACTTCTTGAGAGACTCCACTGAGTACATAATGAATCTGGATGCTTCTGCTCAAGTCATAAAGGACCTGCATGCAAGAGTAGGGTGGAATTATGCTGGTTGGAATAAACTCCTGGATGCGGATCTTGTCAGTCACATGGTGGCCATGGGCGGTAATTACAATTACAACTACGTAAAAGACTTGCTAAGGTTCATTAGAAACGTGATTTCTCACTACAGAGAGTTTCCATCTGAAATCCAGGTTTGTCTTTCTCCTTATCTCATTTTGACATTGTCAGAAACACAAACTAAGTTTAGAAACTTTATCAGTCGATGAACCTGAATCAGTCGATGAACCTGAACCAGTCCATAGCATTCTCTGCACTCGAGGAAAAAAGTGATCTTAACAAACCTTGACAACTGAGGCGAAGTTTTCATCCAAGATGATGATGTCCGAACTCTCCTTAGCCACTTCTGTACCAGCTATTCCCATAGCAAGACCAATATCTGCCTGCAAATTCACTCAGAGAGTCCAACACCAATGAGAAAATGAACAAAAGTATATTTTGACAGAGTCACATAACCAATTGTTTTGAGAATTTCTATACCTCGTGCAATGCAGGAGCATCATTTGTCCCATCTCCGGTAACAGCAACAACATGCCCTTGTCTTCTCAGAGATTGTACCAGCAGAAGCTTGTCATTGGGCGATAATCGGCCCATAACCTTCACAAGTAAAGTAAACAAGTCAATTTCCATTTAGGCTGTTACTACTATATCATATTTACAATAACTGATGCATCTGATGTTCAGGGAGAATATGTGTATTAAAAGCCTGAAGACAGGCCCCACCTCTACATGGAATAAGACTAGGACATTCCAATTACATATCAACGCATTCAAACTAAGGAACTGGGAAGTAATGCTGTGAAAAGTACCGATATTTTGTCACTAATCTTGTCCCTTTCTGCATCGGTCATTGCGCGGAATGATTTTCCTTCAATGAGAGTGGGTTCGGAGGCATCCGCATCTGAAGTTAATATTCCACACTCCAAAGCAATATCCCTAGCAGTTTGGACGTTGTCACCAGTAACCATACGGACCTGAACATAAACAAATATCATTAAGTAATCATGCAGCGTTATTAACAGGCTAACAAATAAAATATTGCCATGGGCATTTCTGGCTCTTTAAAATATGATAGAACAAAAGAAGTACCTTGACACCAGCATTTTGACACAACTGAACTGAATCTTTGACTCCTGGTCTACAGGGATCCTGTGCACATTTCAACATTTCGATAAGAAACATTACCAAGTATATTGCAGGACATGACATGCGGGTGGTTGTCTGATATATAACAAAAATGTGCCTACAAATGCATATATGGAGTACTATGCAATGTGAAGTGAAAAATTGAAAGCGATCTCAAAGGACAAGAGCCACACTACCACAAAGTATATATTTGACTAATCCCCGGATAAACCACATTGTACATTAAGAACCAAATTGAAGTAAAACGTACATAAACAAACCAAATCAATCCTCACCTTTATGCCAACAATAGCTAGTAAAATAAGGTCATCCTCCGGGAGTACACATTTTTCCAGTTCTTCACCTGCTGGAACCTTTTCAGCTTCATAGGTTCCGAAATACAGTGCCTGGGAACATCAAAGAAATTGAGTGGGCTAAGCATCATGATAACCCAAAGATAAATCACAGATTCATACAGATATGCCCTATTTTTAGAGGGTTAAAGAATTGGACTTTTCACAAACCTTCTCTTCCGTCATTGGTGCCACATTACCATCCTCAATTACTAGAGTATTCAATTACCTTGGATAAGATTATCCTGTTTAAGGAAAATTTCCCTAAGCCTACTTTGACCACAAGGATTATACTTTAGGTTGAACTTATCAAAACGATGAAAGGTACTTTTGTCTGCATGAACATCCAAAAGGTCGACGTTCAGGTCATATCTGTGCAAAGTTCAAACAAAAGGAAGAAGGTTTATTTCTTCATTGTCATGGTAAAAATGGGAAAAAAAAATGCAATACAGGCAATCTGCGGTGCGCAACAACCAGGGGCTCCTAAGAGAGTAATCTAATAGTCTTGGAGCCATCAAATTCAGATTGAACTAAGTTGGGAATGTTTAGAAGTTGGAAATGTAATTACCCAGTCAGATCCAGGCTCTCAAAAACTTCTCTCAAGGTCAAATATGTTCCATCTCGGAATATTACAACCTGTATAGAGGAGCAAGAAATTTATCATATCAACAAATTATATACTATCCTAAAACATATGGTTTGCAATTGTTACCTCATCGGGTTCTTTCCGGAGCTTTGACTTGATAAACCTTAAAAGGTGTTTCTGGTTCATGCAAGCTGAATGATGCACATGAGTGTCGACTTTCCTAACGTTATAAAAATCACGATGTGGTGCACTTTTTTGAGCAAGAAATTCTTTATCCGCATTAAGCATCAAATGGAGATTAAATTTCTGAAACAAGAAAAAAAGAGTCATACTGTTAACCAGACCAAACTTGCTTCTTGACATTTTTTCTTCTCTAAATAAAACTCTTGCCTGTTCTAGGAGCACTAGTCGACGATGACACAAAGTCCGGATGTTTCCTGCAGCTATGACTTTGAGTACGTGATGCAAGTCAGTGAAAAACGCTGTGGCATCAGCTACCGGGAAGAGCTCTTCTTTTGCTGGGAAGTATGAAACAGAACAAGGGTCAGTTTTTCGAAAAGTAAAAGAATGCAACCAAATCAACTTTCATGGGTACAGGCAAAAGAAGCATTAGAATTTCAATACTAATGCTCTTACTATCTTTATTTGCAAACACGTGGACTACCCCATCTTGCATCTCAAAATAATGCTGTAAAAACAAAGATTGGAAAGTTAAATTCATCAATGCATGGTGTTTGATGCATAATGCATGGTGTTTGATGACATATATAAGGAGTAATGACTCACATCAGATTTTCCCTGAGGATAGTGTGCAAATGGCTCTGTATTAGGCTTTGGAGTACTAGGATCAGATATGACTTCTTTTTCCCATGGTGCAACTGTTTCTTGGAAGACATACCTCTTCCGCAGTGCAAGACATTCTTGCAGACATTTATAGGCTTCAACTTCATCGGATGTTGGCACCTCTAAACAGAACATATGTAAAATCTGAATAAGAAATGTGTTGAACTCTAATTGTTTCAAGCTATAATTCATAAACTATACTTTAAGGATTCCAATGGCTCAGCTCCCACATAGAGTAAAGCCTTAATTGACCCTTGCTTGTCTCACTTAAGACTAGTTATATAATTATCTGTAACTCCACTTAATTACTTGCCACTAGAAAAAAACTTTTAAACTAGTGGGACTTACGAAACAAACATGTCATGATTTGTAACAACATGAAAAGAGCACTAAGAAAACAGAAACCAGAAGTTAGGCAAGATGACAGAACGAAAAAAAAAAGTGACCATTCTTACCAAGAGGAACATTAAGACGGACAAAGGTCTCTTGCTCTGGCTCCTTACGAAGAATATCAGCGGCAATAGGATCAGGCTGAACTCCATGTAAGTCACCAGACACACTGTGTGATCGAATCATACTTGAAGCAACCATAGATATTTGCTCTTCATTGGCATCTACAGGCTGCAAAAAAACGTCTTACTTGTAACTCCACCCCATTCAATCACAAAACATGGATTTGAAATATGATAAAATCAAGAAACTCACCAATTCATTGTTACCATTAGCTTGCAAGTAGGAAGCATCTAAACCCTCAGTATTAGTCAAATTATCATCATCATCAGATTCTTCCACACTCTCAAAAGCACTAGCACTAGCAACAGGGGATTTCGGAGAGATTGGTCTAACAAAGCTTCCAGTTTTCCTGATACTACTAGCTCCATGTACTGAAGCTCTCCCTGAAAAAAACAATCACAGACTATCTATCAGCATCATCAAAGGATTGCAATTGGAATCAAATAGCACTAAAACAACACTAAACCCGTAAAAGGATCAATTTTTATAATCCAAAATCTAATCTGATCGATTCAGGTTTGATTCTCGAACCTTCAGATGGCGTATGAAGCCTCGGGAGACCAGGAGGGATTTCATCGACATAAACGTGACCGTTGCTCCGACCTGTATCACCACCGCCGCCATCGGTAAAAGGAGTGGCATCTGGAAGAGAAGCAGGACTGCGACCGTATTGGTCAATACCCTTCCTTCTAACCTGGCTCCGCCGTCTCACCAAGGTAGGATTTTGAGGCTCGTCTCCTTCAGGGTTCTCTTTACGCTCCTTACCACGCTCAAGGACTAGATTCAGGGCCTTGAAATGCATGAAAAACCCAGAAACAGCAACGAAGGAAGCTCCAAAGAGAGCCGCGAGGGCAAGTTGGTAAATATTGGGTTCCATGAGTGACAGACACAATCAAAATCTGTGTGTGAGCTCAGGTCAGAAGAGAGAGTAAGACCACGATTTCGTTTTAGTGGCGATGGTGGGAGGTCAAGGTATCGTTGATATTTATAAGCCCACCGAGTGAAACCACGCCACTTGCAAAGGCTGGGTCTTTGAGAAAAGTTGAAACCTTTTATGCCTAAAAAGTAAAAACTAAAAAGTGTTGATAATTATAAACAAATAATTTCTTCGTTAGTGTTCAATTATTTCAGACACCAATTTTTGTTTTTATCTGTCCAAATTTTATTTTATTTATGTTTTGCTTTTATACGTGAAACTCTTCATATTTTAGAGTTTTTTTTTAAAAAAAAGGTTTTCATTTACTTATAAATATTGTACAAAATATTAAACGGAAACAAAGTTTCTTCTATATTCAACATTGACACTTACCAAGGCTCTTACCAAAAAAAAAAAAAAACATTGACACATCACAATCCCTAATTCTAAGAGAATAATAAGGTCAACACTTATCATTTTAAGAAAACTAGGTTTTGGGCCTTTTGGGCCTTTGGCATTAAGGGTGAATTAGATTCTCAAGAGAAGTATAGGTCTTAATATTAACTTGAGCCCAGATTACATATTGTGTTCACATTGGTTATTAACTTATTATTACTTATTAGCCAAATGACTTGAAGAAATTACTTTAACTGAATTTTAAAATGATCACAACTCACAAGCTAGTTTGTTCACGAACTCTATGTTTTCATTGTGAAGCATCATTTCAACAAAATTACAAATGGTTGTTAACTCCAAATACACCCCAAAAAACTGAAAAGTGAAGTTTTACCACCTATACAAAACACAAATAACTCATGCATATCTCTAATGTCACAAGGAAAACAATACACACAAAAAATAGCAAAAAGAAGAATAAGAAAAATCATAGAACAATGGTGACACCTCTAGCACCATGAACATAAGAAGGATGTGCAGCTTCTTGATCTCTCTCAACTGTTGCACATGCCTTGTAGCATCAAATTTCTCTCCATCTCCCCAAAGAGCATAAGCTTCTTCCCCATGCGCAGCGTCGTCTCCAATCCCGAGCTCTTCCTCAGCCATTCTCAATGGTATGAACACCCTAATAGCGAGTAGTATGATAGTCGTCGACACCACATTCCAGACGGCAATGAAGGCAGCTCCTGCCAACTGTTTCAAAAGCTGTTTGCCGCCATTGCGGCCGTAGAAAGCTCCATTGGTCTCTGGGAGAGGAAGTATCAAGACGCAGAGCTCAGGATGTGCAAACAAACCTGTCATTATTCCACCAAGTAAACCGGCCACGGCGTGTGTGTAAAACACCGCTAATGTATCATCCACCTGTTTTATTTTAATCCAATCAAAATATTACAGTTCAAATCATTCTTACATAAATCGATGTTACATAATCAACTTCAATTTGTTTATTTTTTGTTGGTTATGAAATTAAAGTGGGATTTATGATCTAATTTACCTTTTGAAGGAGAGCGGATTTCTTGTGAATGATCATCATAGAGGCCCATGGAACTGTTCCTGAGACTATTCCAACTATTATAGCAGCCCATGTTTGGATCAACCCTGCAATATATATATTTCATTTGTCAGTATAATAAATTAACCATGCAATATTAATAAGTTTCCACATAATTTAACTTTAATCATTAATAAACTTAGAGTAAACAAAAAACTTGAAAATAAGATGATTGAGACCTGCTCCGGGAGTGACGCCGGCTAGGCCAGTAACCATGCCTTGAATTGCTCCGATGACAGAAGGTTTGCCAAAGAAGATGACATCAAGTGTGGTCCATACAAGGAGGCTTGTGGCGGCTGAGAGGTTGGTGTTTAGCACCGCGATAGAGGAGGTTAAGTTGGCGGCGTAAGGAGCACCACCGTTAAATCCGGACCATCCCATCCATAGAAGCCCAGCTCCGGCAAGCATTAATAGAACATTGTTCGGTGGGAATCTTTCTCTGTCAGCCTTAGGCCTTGGTCCTACCTATAATAAGATCATGTCCACAAATCGTATTTAATCTAAGTAATAATCAAATCGATATCAACATGGTACGACTCTTAATTTCAACTAGCTAGTGTTTGCTTTTTAACTAACCATTTTTAGTTTCATTTTCTTCTGCAAGATTTTATATTTTTATTATGTGGAATATTATGTCGTCGTCAGTGGAATTGACTTGACTTTTACCATTTTGCTTATGTGCGACAAAACGCAGAATACAAGAAAAACAAATTAATTAGTTTATATTTATAAGATATAAAATGTAAAAACTGAACCAACCTCAATTATTTTGTGAATTTACTATTAGGCAAAAATTGATATTTTCAGTTGAGTGAGATCAATATTGAAGCGTTTCTCCCGCGTTATTTTATTCTCTAGATGCTTATTCAAAGATGATTGATTACTCTTCTCTAATTAATTATCTAAGTTTCTTATACAAATACCTCAAGATCGTGTTGTCAAATCCTAAATCGATTTGATTTAATTTTTCTACTACTTGGAAATTATTTACCTTTTGTTAGTGGACCAATCAATCATCGAACTTATTACTTATCTATATAAACTATGGGCCTTAAATACGTAATCATATCGAAAAAGCAAAACAAAACTTGGCAATTAAAGACCAGTCTACATCGAATTATTACTTGGAACTTTTTCCGAGACTATGTCATCTACCGACTACCGTACATTAATTTAATTCCAATATTTTCAACAGACATCAATATATAAAAACCATCTTATTCTTCAATCTTCTTATTTTATTTCTAGTAATAATAACCAAATATCAAATAATAGCCTGAGAATTTAAATCCAAGCTTAGTTTCCCTAACTAAATAAACTAACCTCTAACAACTAAAGAAACTCTGAATTTGAAAATTTCAGATAAACGTACCCAGTAAGCGGCGACGAATCCGGCGACACCGGAGGAGAGATGAATAACATATCCGCCGGAGTAATCAATAACTCCCCACTGATACAGAAACCCACCTCCCCAAATACTATAAGCTCCAACTGTATAGCTAAAGATCAGCCACAATGGCACAAACGCCATCCAAGCTTTAATATTCATCCTCCCCAACACCGATCCCGCCACTAATATCGTCGTTATCGCCGCGAACGTGAACTGAAAATACACCAACGTCGCCATTGGAAAATAAGGCGCCGGCACATTACTGTTTGGGATCTGTTAAGAAACCAAAATTAAAAAAAAATCAAATCAAATTCTCATTCAGGCATTTTATCGAACACTTTGTGTGCAAATAGCCAAAATTCAAAACCTTGGCTTGTTCCTTGAGGTATCCTTGGTCAAAAGCTGGACCACCTTTGCCCCAAAACGGCAAAAGCTCATCTCCAAAAGCCATTTTGTAACAGAGGAGGACCCAACAGAGAAGAACGGCGGCGAAAGCATAAAGAGCCATAAAAGCTGAATTTACAGCCCATTTCTTCTTGACGATGGAGGCATAGAGGATAACAAGACCTGGCATACTCTGTAAACCAACCAGAGTCGCCGCCGTGAGCTGCCACGCGTTGTCTCCTTTGTTGAGCCATTCAGGTACCGCCGGCAAGCTTGGATCGTAAGCTCCGGCCATTTTTTTTTAATTCTCTCTCTTTCTCTCCCGGAGTTGATGAACTTTTTTTTGGATTTGTGATGTTTATAGTCAATGGTACGAATTTTTGTGTAGGTGTGAAAACCTTTAATTATAATAATGTGTGTAAAATAGACAAGACACAAGTTGGGTTTGGTGTTTTGTTTGTACATTTTGATGGAGAAAAGTCTTCGAAGGTTTGATGGATATGTTTCTCATTCTTCAATTCTAGTCTTGTTATTTCAATGAAGCTTCTTAATTTCTTTGTGTAAATTACTAGGAGAATTAAAAACATACTATAAGACAATTTAAAAGACAAATTTGGTATACAAAAAAAAACAAACAAATTGGGATAAGATGTGGACCTTGATTTTTATTGATCATATAAGTCATTGCAAATTTAATATTTTTTTAATTGAGTTAAAATAAATCATTCATATTATTTCTAGGATAAATATGTTAAGAGGACTTTTATCTCGTCGTAATTGCGTGTGACAAGGAGATTGATCCGTGTATTACAAGGACTAATTTGGCAAAAAGATTACCTGCTTCATATTTTGTTTTTAATATCATAAAATGTAAATAAAACGGGTACAGCATAAAAAGTTATGTTTACACCCCCTTTTACCACTAGGAGACTTTCATTTCATGCATTTGCTCTCAAGGCAAAAGAAAAAAAAATTGTATATTTCAAAAATTAGTTAGTTTGGATGCTGAAGTGGAGAAGTTAATCTTCCCTTACCAAAAAAAATTGACTAGGTATGTAGAAGTAGAAATCTGTACATACGGCCAAAATTTTGGGTACTTTCGTTCGTCAAATTTGATCGTGCGGCCATGTTTAATACTGAAGAAGTTGACCAGGTACACATCGAATGTTTAAGAAGCAAAGATTCCATTGTTTGTCTAAATATTGATACTGTATCAGTGTATCCAATCAAACATCCGGAGATCCCAAGGTTTTTTGTTAATCTTTTTGGAAAATCAAAATTGATATGATACTTGGTCGAACGTTGTATTTGGCACGTCGAATCAAAATTATACAACAGTTTCAACTCTCAACCTTACTATTAACGACGTCATTATCATATTGATATATATGTATATATATATAGGTGCCACCATATTATACAATAAATTAAACTATTAGAGATTCAATAAGATCCATGCTCTTAGATTGATTGAACGAAAATAATTACCGAGTCATGGGTCAACCAATTTTACACAGTTGAAATAAGTTCCCTATCAAATACTATTAAACATATACAATAAACATTTCACGAGATAAATTTACATAGAATAATAAACTCAAAAGATTTGATGATTTGTGACCTTTTGCTATAGTTTTTTGTACTGCGATCTTTGAAAATAACCCCTTTTAAAATATATTTTACAAAAAAAAGTGAGTTGTGTCGCATTGTTTAAATATTAATCCTGTTCATAGTAAAACCTCAGAAATTTTGGCTTTAGATTTGCAAAATGTAAAAATGTTTCACTATGTTTCTAAAGAAGGGTGAGAAATGAGTGAAGATGGAT